TGCCCAGCCCAAGCTACACTAAGCCTCACAGCCTCACTCCTTTAACCCAAACACACCACCCAGCGTCGCCGCCTTCGCCAAGCCCGCACGCGTAAAACCTCTTCGTATGCAGATCGAAGCACTAACGCACTAACCCAAATGCAACCACACACCACGTGTACATACGAGCGTGCGAATCTCCATCAATTCCCCGGATGCGCTCGGATGACATGGAACACGGCCGGCACCATTGGCGGCGATGCAGCCGGTGCGCCAGCCGCAGAAAACGTGCACGGTGTCGGAGGTAACTCCGGAGTGATCATGGGATTGGATGTGGATGGGAATAGCGCGGACATGACATGGAGACACGGCGCAGGGTACGGGGTCAGTCAAGGATGGTGAGCAGGGTCAGGGTCAGGGTGGGCTGGGGAAGGAGGGATCGGGGGAGTGTTGCTGTTCCTGGATTGAGAGGATGGGGGATTGATTGATTGGGATGAGAGGCCGGTCTTGGGATTTGTTACGTTTTGAGTGTGTTGAGTGATGGTGTTGCGGTGGTAGGGCGCGTAAGACCTCGCACACCAGACTCTGCTTATCTTCGGAAGTCATTCGAAGACCTGCCGTCTGTCTTCATTCTCGGGTCCGTCTTTAGTACAATAGGCATGATGCCATGCAAGCATTGCCTCCAAATCTTCCTCTGAGGGTCGCTCTCCATCTGTGCGTCTGTGGTCCGGTATCTCTTCCAGGCGCTATTAGTACTGCACCTTCACTACCAAGTCCTTCTCGACTATTTCTTCCGACAGGATGACACGCATTCCAATGCATTCTCCCGGAACAGCTTTAGATCTCAGCTGCTCTACGATGAACCTTATGGGCGCAACGATGTCGTCTGCGCCGAATTCAAACTCGGATTGTTGCAAAGCACGAATGTTGTGGACACTTCTGCTCTTCGCTGACTTCGTTGGCATTAGCTCCGCTGTGTGCTGAGTCTGAAGTCTATGGATGACATGTCGAGACAGCGACTAGCTAATCATAGCTGTAACTTCACACTCATACAACAGTTCCTTCTTCGCCAAACTTGCAACACCGACAACCGTATCAGGCGGTCTATGCCCGCCCGCCTCGTTGTCCATATATTCGATCCAAACATCTCCCCAGCCACGATCTACTACATCCTTTCGATCCTGCTCTGGGTTGCCAGTCTCCTTGACAATGTAATGTCGAACATGCACCTAATTACATCAAAGTTAGTGAAATGGCCAACACTGCCTTTAAAGTGCCCAAACAAGGTCCAAAGCGTACAATGTCTCGTGGTGTGGCTCCAGCCGCCGCCAAGCACTTGTGAATGCTATCATAAGCGCCCTTTGCTTGTTCTTTAATGTCGGATGGGATGGTATGGTCTTTTCGAAGGCCCGTTTGACCAGCAAGGGTGATTAATTTGGATGACGGCACTATTGGAGTGATGCAGACTTGGTTGTATGTCGGTGGAGGTTCCGGTACGTTTTCTGGGTTAAAGGCATGGGGCTTGTTAGATGCCATGACTGAAATCAAGGCAATCAGAGTAGTATCACTTTTTGGTGTTTCCTACATGTTCTATGCGCGAGCCTTACGATTGTATCTCGGCATGAGGGGCAGATTCGCTCGCGCTTGCCGTACTTAGTAGTCCAACATGTGGGCCTCACTGGCGTTGAAGCATGGGCCACGGTGACATCACGGCCTTTCGTCACGCGAATCCACCACGCAAACAGGACGCGACAAACCTCACACCACTGCACACAGCCCGTTTGGCTGATTAAACATTACCACATCATTGGGTCAAAGTGGATTACTTCATTGACGGATGTAATTCCACCTGCAACCGGGCGAATGAGATGCAGGCCAGCACGCGCCTGCCTCCGTTTCGAATGCGGGGAAAGCTCCAGCAGCGAGAGCGTTAAAGCCGTCTGCTCGTGACGGTTCGCGCAACCTCAGTCCACACCCCTTTGTTTGACAGACACTGATCGTACCATGGCGTCTGGCTGGTTCAGCTCATCGTCGAGCGACCCAACGCGTCCTCCGAACGTTCGCGTTCAAGTTGCTGAGCAGAAACCACACGACTTCTACCTGCAGCCCGGCTCGGGCAGCAGCTCAGGACCCGCCACCAACCGCTCAGCAGCATCAGTACCTTCGGCTTATGTGGATACGACTCATTCCAAGGTCCATGTCCACAATGCTTCGCTTTTCGATGTAGGCATCCTGAAAGACACGCTTGTCCCTTCACTCACCCTGCATTCTGGCTTGGCTGTCATTGCGTATGGAGCTGCACGATACACAAACCGCGTTGAAGCCAAGGACTGGCTCTGGCCCAGTGGCCAGGTCGTGAATGCCTGGTGGTCTGCCGTTGGACGCCGTCTTGCTCAAGGCTACACCGTCTCGCAAGCATTCAGTCGTCTATCATGGCATGAGCGTGTTATCCTCACGGGTGTTACACTATGGGGAGGACGTCTCTTTTACCGCATCGTCAACCGTTCTATCCAACGAGGCGAGGACGATCCACGATATGCCGAAGTCAAGAAAGAGGAGGGCTTCTGGAACAGCGCGTTGTTCAAAGTCTTCATACCCGAGGCTTTCTTCCAGATGCTCATCAGCCTGCCGTTTACCGCACCATTCCGACACGAGGGTGCTGCCATGACAGGTTACCACCCCTTTGTTCAGATGTTTGCTGTCGGCTTGTTCTCTTCAGGATTGGCGATGGAGACACTTGCAGACTACCAGCTGGACCAGTTCAAGGCCGAAGGCAATAAGGGTATCATGCGCGAAGGAGTATGGAGCATCGTCCGCAACCCCAAGTATGTACCCCTGTTCCGGAGTCCATGTCATTCGCTAACGTCGTATAGCTACCTCGGCGACGCCCTCGTTCACATCTCCTTCATCGTCATGCTTTACGGCTCAGACATGCTCGCCCCTATCGAACTCCTAGGCCCCGCCGCGAATTACGCCTTCCTCCGCTTCTTTGGTGGCGACGCCGAGAAAGAGAAGCACCAAGAACGCCGATACTCCGCATCTCACCCCGAGAAGTTCCGCGAATTGGAGAAGTTCAGAGCGGATAAGAATGCTTTCTGGCCGAGCGTCGATGAGCTAAGCAACAAATGGTTGTGGACTGTTTTGGGTGTTGGAGGCTTGGGCATCGCAGTTGAGCAAACGCTTCGGGCGCTGCACTAGGTCTTGCTGCCTAAGGTTCATGAGGTTTGCCCACGAAGCTGTTTATGCGGTAGGCACTTAGTGTTACCGATTAAGTTTGTACGATATAATTAGCTTAGATTGTCAATTTATTTACTGATAATTCAACTTGATAGTCCCTAGCACGTTAGCACCATTTGTCTATCACAAACATTGTGATGGTTTTCCAACAGCGTCAGCAAGCCCAGGGTTTGCCCATCACAACGAATGTCCGATTTACCAAACGACACGAGCACAATCACAAACCTGACAGTAGTCTTAGTTGCACAGCTGCCATCTTGTGGCTTCTTGTTATAACACTAGCGTCAGTGTCCTACTGTCATCGTTTGAGCTTTGTCCACATCGACCGTAAGCGATGAACGAAAGGGATCTGATAGGCGTCATCTTCGTAGCCGTGTTCGTCCGCTTGATCATAGCCATTGCCGCCCTATGTCTTCGTTGCCACTGCCATCTTCAACGTGGTGGAAAGCGTCCAAGGCGAACGCGATCGTATACAGTGGATACGAACTGGACTGATTACACATCCCCGTCATTCGATCCAGCATATTACAGTCCACGTTTCAAACAACCGTTCAAGACCCGGTCCAAGAGATATGCGTCATACAGATACGACTTCGGCCTTCCTCAACACGCTCCAAGAGTACACGCTACCAATACAAGATACGTGCCTTCTAGAAGACAAACAAGAGAACAGTATATGCTGAGTGAGCTGTACGATGGATTGGATATCACACCCGAGATGATCAGACCGCAAAAGTGGGGGTGGAGGGATGAAGGCGCACTGGACCTACCTGAATCAGTATTTGACGACTTGGATCTTACACATGAGCATATCGGAGGACCGCGGGAAAGGGAGATGATGGCCCAAGCGAGAAGGCCGAGAAGACCAAAGAGATCTTTTACTTTCTAGTCGGGATGGCGTAGGATTCTGCTCAAGGCTTGCACGCACTATATCGAATGCATGAAGTACCAAACGCTAACAGAGGGTGTGTTTTCAGAAGGGATGGCAATGGTTTATAGCCTATCAAGGCCCGTTTTAGCTCTCGGTGCGTTATCAGTAAACGCTTATTACAATCAGTGTAGCCATAGCTTGTCTAACATGCCCGTGTTGATAGTGCATGAGTCCCATCTTACTGCACTTGCTCAATACTCTTCCACTTGTCTCGTATACTTTCCAGGTACCAGGGTGCAAGTACTCGATTCAGCCATGAGCGAAAGAGACAAAGCAGGTATCATCCTCATGGCCGTGTTTATCCCATGTATTGTCATCGGAATCATTATGTGCTTCTGCTGTCATCGTGCATCTCGACCAAAACGATCACGTCCACGTTCCTATAATCAGACTTGGCATGGACAGGACGGCGGAGGCCACTTTTCACCATTCTATCTGCAACCAATGGTACCATGGCAGATGCCAATGCCTACTCACACCCGTCCACCGCCACCGACTTTCCAATCCGGAGTGTCACGAAATTCTGAGCGGCAGCACGATTTGGAAGCTACCCCGTCGACTTGGCCTTTTGCGCCTTTCCCGCCTACTCCGGTGATGAGGTCATTGAACCCTGCCGCGATTCCCTTACCAGATTCTCCGCCTATAACGAGGTTGACTTGAGCCGGTGCCCGTGGCGCGAGAGCAGTGCGACTCCTTGGACTGGATTCAATCGAATAGCGAAGTAACTCAATAGACGCTTTGCGCCTTTGTATGATGGTGGTCAAATATAAGGTATGGTCGTCTTGAAGTGGGTAATCTCCTAGATTCTGGGTGTGATTATAAAGTCGGTGACAATCGGGGGTGCGCTGCCCGTCTACAACATGAATGTAAACTTCTTCCTTTCTCTTCTCATGCTCCCACCCTCATCCAACGGTATACCGGCATACTCTACACTGCGACCATTATTCAGCTTTCGGTTCTCTCTTGTCAACACCCACCTTAGTATCGCAGCAAGGATGCCGACCAGAAGCATAAATCCTGCACATATACTCATGCCCTTGACGTAGTAAGGACCGTCGTCATCTGGGAAGATGCTCGTGCCAACCAGCGGGCCCATCTGACCAATGATGTTCAGAAGAGCCATGCCGGTGCCTTTCTTACTGTCGCTTTCTTGGTTGTTGAGTGTCCATGTGATGATGATAGTGATAGCGCTGAAGAAGCCTGCGGCAGCGGGATAGAGCGCGACGTAGCGGATCATGGTGTTGTCAGACTGTAGGTATCCGGAGATAGCAATAGTACCGTATCCGATCGTTGCTAGGACAGAGTGGAGCATGATGAACGTCGAGCGTGATTGCAATCGATCGGAGTAATATGCAGTCGTGAGAACGACGACAAAAGCGAAGAGGTATGGCGGAGCTGAAAGTCCTTGTGCTGTAATGGATTCCCAGCCCATATCTCGGATTACGGTCGGCAGGAACACGGGCATGGAACTAAAAGCCACGTTACAGCTAAAGAACATGAGCGCTGTCAGGTAAGACTTCGGATCCTTTAGGGTCTGTAGAACTTCGTGAAAGTCCACACGTCCTCTTCTTCGTCCACCCTGGTACTTCTCTTCTTGGTCTTCATCTTCGCTCTCCTTTTCTGATCTCAGCCTCATTACCGCAACCTCGCGCTGTCTGGGACTTAGCCACTTCGCCAGTCCTGGTCCATCTGGTACAAAGTCCCATGCCCAGACGGCAATTAATACAGAAGGAAACCCTTCCAGAAGAAAGAGTAGTCTCCAAGGACTAAGTGGGCCATGTTCACCGACTTTGGTGATGACGTAGGCCAGTGCTCCGGCGAACGATGCTGAAAGGGGGCTGGCGCTGATGAAGAGTCCGGTTCGAAAGGCAAGCTCGGATCGGCGGAAGAAGAAGGATAGATAGAAGGGTACGCCAGGTCCAAATGCTGCTTCGCTGATTCCAAGTAGGGCTCGCAGCACAAGGAGGAACCCGAAGGATGTCGCTACTGCCTGGAGTGACGCAACTATGCCCCAAGAAAGGATGCATAGAGATATATAGATATGCGGCGGCACTATACGATACCTATCGGGATTAGCAGTGCAGCGTTTGTAACTGGCGACTACCTACAGTAGTGTCATCCATTCGAAAAGAATGTATGTGATATAGAATGCCCACAGTAACCACTCATACTGCGTGGAACTGAGCTTCAGGTCATCTGCCAGACCAACTATGCGCGCATTGCCAATATCTATGATATACATCAGCAAACGTCGCGGAGCCTACCAGACCGGCATTGGGCGTATCTGACGTACATGTCTTCCCCAAGAGCCTTCCGGGTGTAGAAAGTACTCACTCGAGCGATCCAGAAAGCTCAGCATGTACAACAAGGCCATGAACGCGACTAGCCGCCGATCAAGCTTCTTGAGCACTGTGCGATCCTCATCTGGGGTATACAACTCATAGCTCTGCACAGAGTCCAAAGAGGCGCGCCGTATACTGGGAAGGAAGCCCTCGTCTTCCTCTCCCAGCCCCTCTTTCGATGCGGGTTCATCTCGTGGAGTGATCGTTCGTAGTTCGAAAGAGTTCGGCTCGTGTATCATGGACAGGCCATCGGAGGAATGTGAGGAGCGTGGAGAGGGCGTGAACTTGGGAGAGCTTTCGTCGGCGCTGTTGGATGTTTGTGCGTGCTGAGTGCGGCGGGAGGTGGATGGCATGCTTAGGTTCGTCTGTCGGGATTGAGCCGCATTGGGGACTAAGAGATTACATCGAGAATAGGAGTAATTAGTCAAAGCACGAGCTCGTCACCACCGACAAGTCGCGTAGATCGAAGTGTCAAAGCTGTCTCGCTCGCTCGTGAGATGACGCGTAGAAGCCCGTGCGCTGCATACCCCACAATCCAGGATACCGGGTACTGCTTTGCCGTCATGTCCTTCTGCTTTCACTTGATCACTTTGACACACTGGACTCAACATCACAAAGACAGATTTTCAATGTCGTTTTAGCTAAATCTATTTGAAGGGGTACTGAGAACGCATTGCGTATTGATCCCGTAGAATCAATCTTCAAGCATGGGCATAAGGGTTGCAGGATCACTCAATCGAAGCTACTAGGGTCGGCCTCGTTATGCAGAGCGATGCGTCCACCGGGCATCTCTTTCACCTTCCAGTATCCCCGCAAAAGCGCCTCATCCATACCGATCCCTTCGATCTTCATCCCCAACGAACGCAGTGGCTGTCTCAATGGCGGGCCTCCGTAACGGTACGGCTCGTTGACCTCCATGGGGACGCCCACTCCAGGAAGATCATCCCAGTGATACATCTCTTTGGCGACTTTGATACACGCTTCTCGTTTCTCTGCGTCCCACCATGAAGGCAGAGTCCCTGCGATCTTCTCGGCGTTGGCGATATGCTCCAGGACTCCTTGGAAGAGATAGCCTGTGTTGTACTTGACACTGCCGTCCCTGTAAGAGTTTTTCGGATCTACCATCGCACCGAGGCCACAGCGCTTCACTTCATCCCAAGCACGGAAGCTCTCAATCAGAAGCTTGTAAGTTGTCGGCTCGTCTTTTTTCAGGAGGAGCTCATCGAGCCACGTAGCTACCTGCCCGTAATCCCTCACTGTCGCATATTTATTGAGCCCATCGCTGCCAGACTCATGAAGTCCTCCGGGTACGCAGCTGAGGTGAGTGTTGTGCGGGTAGATGCGGGCGGGCATTTGTTGTTCAGGCCAATTCTCGTCCATGGGGTGACGGGGTTTGTTGCACCGCTCCTTGTGCATGCCTTTCCAGTGCGCTTTCTGACAGGCTCGAGAGCAATAACGGAGGACTTTGCAGCCGCTGCAGCGCTTGAGAGGGTTGGCAGGATCTTCTACTTCATTGCAGTTCGAGCATCGGAAAGGGCCTATGATGAGTCAGTAAAGTGACAGGATGAGGAAACAGTACTGTCTCACCTAGGGCAGCCATGGTGTCGCTTTGACACTGGACCTGGTATCTGGAGTACTCGAGCAAGCAGAAACGGTGATGTGAAGAAGCTATCGCGGGTGATGAGTGGACGTAAATATATCTCCAGTGCAGATGAGAGGATTTGAGACAATGTCTGTGTCTGAGACCTATCAGGGAACGTGCAGAAAATGTATCAAGGTAGCAAACACCGTGCAAACACGCCTGCAGGCGACATAATTTCTGCAATTTTACTGGTAGAATGGTTAAGGAGGGTCGTAGATGCGCTGCTTTGGTGGCCCACTGTGACACTGAGGCTACGACGGGAAAGCGCGCTCTAGCCCTCTGTTGGATGTGGTGAAAGTCGGAAAAGTCAGGATCAGACGAGCGTTGCCCAACTAACAATAGTAATGCGTGAGTAAGAGAGTCACCGAAGAAACAAATACGAGACAAAAGATTGTAGTGGTCGTTAAGAAGTGCATTCGCCGATCAACACAGATGTCGGTACTGGCCCGTCAGTCCATATCTGTCTATTTGGGCAATTGCCAGTCCTTGTAGCTCCACTTCTCCGACACGTGGTACTTCTTCTGCTTGGCGTATGGGATCTGTCTTCTGGCTTCGACCTTGCCCTGGAGCATGAAAGTCCTGAAGCGGTCCTTGAGCAGATTGCCCTCTGGCTTGAGAAGACGCAGAGAGTCGCGGAGCTCGTCTGGTAGAACGACTTCGAGCGGGGCCTCTGGTAGACTGTGGTCGATTAGTAGATGTTCGATGTGTGGAACGTGGATAGGTACTTACGGTGCCTTGCCAAACTGCTTCTTCCTCAGCTCCAATTCTTCGCCATCGTCCTCCTCACCCGCTAGCTCTGCATTCCTCTGTTCCAGAGCTTGTTTCACAGCGGCTCTCGCCTTCTCCTTCTCTTCTACGCTCTTGGCTAATCTCTTGATCTCCTGGACCTGTTGCTCTTTGGCCTTCATCTTTGCTTCGTGGACCGCTTTTCTTTGCGCGTCCTTTCTCCTCTTGATCTTGTTCCGTTGTGACAGCGACTTCCTCTCTGGCCTCTTCTTCTTGGCCTGCTTGTCTTCATTGTCACTGAAACCTTCCCACTCGCTCTCCCACACGCTCTCCTCGCCTGAGTCAGATTCTGTCTCAGCAGCAGCTCTCTCCATAAGCTCGGCCTCTTCGCGGGCCTCTTGCAGGCGCTTCTTCTCAACCTCGACAATCTTGTCGGATTCGCGCATGAGCTCGTTTTGCCAGTCTTCCAGCAGGGGGTTGTACGACTTTCCACCGGTAGGTTTGCGGACTGAGGGGATGGCCTTGCCGGTCTTTGCCTGCGAGATGGGTGCGTGCTTCAGGGTTTTCGGCTCGACCTTGGGCTTCTTCTTCTCAAGGTATGAGAAACGAGGATCCTCCTTGACCTCTTGCACTGCCCATGGGTCGTAGGCGGCGTCGGCAGTCTGTACGACGTCCTTCTTGGTCTGCTCGCCTCCGTATGCAATCGCCCTCAGCCTGTCGTATTCTTTGCCCGATACCTTTGCCTTCTTCCTCTTGCCATCTTCGGTGATTTCCGAGAGTCGCTTGCGGGTGGATACGGCGGGAACGGCAGAGCGCTTAGCGAGGATCTCGTCGACCTTGAGAGGCTTGTGTCGTTTCGCGACCTCTTTTTGGATCTCAGCCGATCCAAGGACATCGACGGCGAAAAGTTCGTCTGCGGTCTTCTCAGAGATAACACCGCTGTAGAGGCGTTAGTATATGCATCGACTTTGTATTGTGTTTGGTACACACCCTTGAATGATCTGGTCGCGCACATCTTCTAGGCCGGATTGAATCTCTGTGACATCGACATTCTTGCGCCAAGCCTTCTTGCCTTTGCGACTCGACTGTTTGTATTGCGCTGGCGCTGCTTCGGTGTCCGCCATGGTGTCTATGGTTGCTGTGCTTCAAGTAGTTGTGGGGTTGCTGGTTGTCGCAAAAAGTTCGACCCAAAATTCCGACCAGCAAAGCGGCGCACGGGCTGGACCCACCGGGACCCCTGCTGCACTCGGTAGTCGGTGTTGGCCGCCAGGGTGCCAGGCCTCCAGATTCGACCGACACTCCTATTCAGACACGACACCCCACCAAGACACACGGCCGGGATATTGCTTCTGATACTCTGCGATAACACATTTCGAGACTTTCGATTCTCCCAAAATCTACCACCTTCAGTCACAATGGCGCAGTCGGGCTACTCAAACCCGCTCAAGAAGTTCAAGTGAGCTGTCCTCCGCGGCGGAGACCAACTTCGTATACTAACCGGCTGCAGGCTCGTATTCCTGGGCGAACAAAGTGGTATGCATACTATCGCAGATACAGCGGTTTGCGACACACGTGCTAATGTACCTTCGCAGTGGGAAAGACGTCTCTAATTACCCGCTTCATGTACGACTCGTTCGACAACACCTACCAAGCCACCATCGGTATCGACTTTCTAAGCAAGGTATGCTCACTGCAAAGCCGCCATGGATATGGGAACCCAGTTCAACATCTAATCTTCGCCGCAGACCATGTACCTCGAAGATCGGACTGTCCGCCTGCAGCTCTGGGATACCGCCGGCCAGGAACGATTTCGGTCCCTGATTCCCTCCTACATCCGCGATTCTAGCGTAGCCGTGGTTGTATACGACATCACAAACAAGAAGACGTTTGAAAACACAAGAAAATGGGTAGACGATGTCAGAGGCGAGCGCGGTAACGATGTCATTATCGTGCTCGTGGGCAACAAGACCGACTTGAACGACAAGCGCGAGGTTACAACAGCGCAGGGTGAAGAAGAAGCCAAGAAGAACAACTTGATGTTCATCGAGACGAGCGCGAAGGTCGGACACAACGTAAAGGCACTGTTCAAGAGAATCGCGCAGGCGTTACCGGGCATGGAGGGCGAAGGCCAACAAGGGCAGAGTCAGAGTACGTCTCGTATACATCGTTGCGGTGAACGCCATGCTAATCCAATATGCAGTGATCGACGTGAACATCAACCCCAGCCAGCCACCGCAAGAAAACTCGTGCTCATGTTAAACAAGACATAGCCGTTTGGCAATCAACTTCGGTTCATTCGCTTAAGGGCGTACTGTAATTATTTGGGATGATGTTTTGCAAGTCTGAGAAAGTCATTGTCAGCAAGGCGTTCGGGCATGGGCCGCATGCATCTTAACGTCGGAAATGTAATCTGTAGTATACCAGTGCGTACCCATGCGTACCACTGCATGACGTCAATGGAGAGATGCCGAGTGCTGTTTGGATTGTATGCATTGGAAGCCCACATCTATCCCAACGCCGCTCCAGCCAGATGAATCATGCTCAACCAGAACGCCGGCCGTAGAATTGACCGACTGCGCCGATGCTGATCCATACACAAGAATATTACAGGGGCCGTCATCAGGTGGAGCGGGGTCCAAGAATGCTTGCTGAATTTATCGAAGTACTATCGTCGCAGTGTTTTACTCGAGGTCGCCTGCCGAACCAGCCTCAGACGGCGTCTTGCTGCCGCCGACGGGGATTGACGTGTCAACTGCGATCATCTCGGCGAGAATGTCGAGGACGGGCTGTCGGGTGTTAGCGGGCCATGGCCAATTCACGGCGAAGAGCAACAACGTACCTTGGGCACGGTCTTGTCGTAGATGTTGATCAGTTCCCGCGGGTTGGGGTAGACCTTCAATGCGCGGTAGAAGCATAGCGCCGCCTCGACGTTATCCGCACCTGGCAAACAATTAGCACCACGTCCCACCAAGAGGGCCAAACTGAACCATACCCTTCTGTACCATTCCCTCGCCCTGCGCAACCTCCTGCATAAAGTACGCCTCTACCTCCTCGGGGTCCTTGGGAAAGCCCTCTTCGTTTGCCCGCTCTACCGCCTCTCGGATCGCCTTCTTCTGCTCGGCGCCCTGTGCCTCGGCCTCCTCCTTGGCCGCCCGCTCCGTTCGCTTCGACTCCTTCTTGAGCTGCTTGCGGAAGCCTGGGTCATTTCGTCGCTTGTAGTCGAAGTAGGCGGCGTATGCGAGAAGGCCTGTGACGATGGTGCCGGCGCTAATGGCCGCAATGGTCGATGGTTTTAACGACGAGTTGGACATGGTGGTGATGCGATTCGTGCGAGTGAAAAGCGCAATCTGGCGGGGAAGGAGCAGCTAGAGCCCTTGGAATTGGCGGCAGGTGATGGCGGTGATGTGGTGTGGTGTTTAACTTTTTCTCAGTGTTCAGGGAAGGCACGATTCACCAAAGTGGGCCCGAGCTCACACTCGAGACCGCGGCTCCACGCATGACGGGGCTCTACGAGTACCTGTCAACATCCACGGACGCGCACTCATGGCGCAGCTGCCCTCGCTACCACTGACCACCACTCCACTCCCGCCTCATTCAACGCAGGAATTGGACAAGTGTTAAAGGTAAATAACCTAGAAGCCTGCGTCGCGTTGGGGTTTGGCTAGCTTTCGTCCTCATGCTGATGTAGACTGCAGGGCACCTGTTCCGTTTCATCCTTGTATAAAGTGCTGCGCTCCTACACCACGATAATCGGGGGATCTTGCAGGCAAGATGTCGGAGAAACAGAAGGGCATCTCCCTCCGCAAGAAGCGGGGGGACAAGAGCAAGAAGAACGCGCCGCCGCCCACCATCAGCGCGCCGCGACAGATTAGTGCGCCCATGCCCGCAGGCGTCGCTGCTGCTGCCGCCGCTTCACTCCCAAGCTCCGGGCGCCCTTCGAACGAATCCAGCCGATCGAGGACCAGACAGGATGGCCCTCCATCGCAACCAAGACCGCAGCGGCCAGATAAGACGGCGGATCTCGTCAAGAGGAGGTACTCCCAAAAGATCACAACGCTGCCTAGCGACTTCGGGAATGGCGAGCCTATGCCGCAGATGCCACAAATGCCTGTTCAGTACAGAGAGAAGAGCCAGACGAGAGAGGGCCGGCCGCCCGGAAGCTCCAATGGACGGGTCCTGCAAGTCGACCCGCGCGCATTGCGGGACCCCAACCTGGAAGTAGAGCGATGTAAGGCCAACATATGGTGATGTGGTTGCCTGCATGCTGACTCGCACAGATGTATCAACTATCCTCGCAGACGCCTCTGAAGCAGACATCAGCCGCTACCAGGACGAGCTGCGCAAGACAAAGCATCGTACATCGCTCGACCTCCAGCACAACGTATACCAAAACCGCACACAGTTTATCAAGATCAGTAAAGAAGCAGAGAAGCTCAAGGGCGAAATGCGGACGCTTCGTCAGTTGATGTCTGACCTAACAACTACCTTGGAGCAGACAGCATCAGCTACGGGTGCCGCCAATGACGCCGCGAGCTCGCGAAGAGCCAACCGAAGTTCGATCGGAGATCTCAATCAATTGCGCGCAGGCCAGCTACAGCAGTTGTACAGGGACGTTGAGGGCTCGCAGAAGTATCTACCACCCATACCCGGACGATATATCGTGTGGAAGTCAACGAGATGGTTCGAACTGGACTCTGCAACCCTCAAGGCAAGACGAAGAGTAAGGCTACTGCTACTGAATGATCATCTCCTTATCGCGTCAGAGAAAAAGGCACGCAACGATGTTCCCGGACAGCGTGATGGCAACAGAGCAAATATGGAGTTTACGGCCCAGAGGTGTTTCCCCTTGCAAGATACCCAGGTGATTCGGACCCCGGAGGAGCGCATCATCATACGCGCTGGCTCCGAATCTTTCACGTACGACACCAAGAAGGAGGACAGTGGTGACAAGTCTGCTTTCGTTGCTACCTTCCGCAAGACTAAGGATGACCTGCGCAAGAGCCAAGAAGCGGATGTACAGGAGAAAGACCGAACGCAAGACTCTTACAGCCATCTTCTTTCACGCGACCCTGCTTTCATGAACAGGACAGAGTTGTTGGACAATCTCTCGGACGGCATCAACAACGAACAAGTCAGTACTTTTGTTGACATTGACGGACAACAGCGCAATATCCGGTGGGTAGAAAGTCAACTAGACGATTTGGACATTGAGATCGCGCTTCAACATTTCCAGGACGCTGTCCAGAAAGTGGACCGGCTCAAAGCACTTGCAAAGAACATTAGAAGCAATGAGATGGCCAAGACAATCGTCACCTACAAGGTCAATGAGCGCGCTGCGAAGCTCGCGAATGTTTTGGTCAAGCACATGGTAGAGCACAACAACTGGTTCACCTCTGTCAGGCAACACGTGAGTTGGGTAGTCCAACTAGGCTTCGAAGACCGTGCACGAGAAGCCTATCTGGAAGCTCGCGGTAACCTGATCAGAACTCGCACGCGGTATGTCTTCACTTCATGAAAATCCACATCACCCACTGACTCTTTCAGGCAATGCATATTCGAAGGCAATCTCCCAGACTATATCTTCCAGATCTCCTACATCTATTTCACCATCATCAAGAACACCGTCGACATGTATCAGAAGTGCTTCCCACAACAGCTCATGTCCGCGTGCGTCAAGTGGTCGAAAGAGCACATCGACCAATTCAACATACTATTAAAAAGGCAACTGAGTAGCGTGGACGAAGGCGGAAATGTGTGGAACGAGTGCTTGAGATTGGCACATGAACATGCAGAGATGCTCAGGGAGGTTGGATTGGATTTCACTGAATTGGTCGGGAATGGAATCAGTGGACAGGACGGTGAAGAAGATCAGCCTGTGGGATTGGGGGTGTCATAATTGTTGACAAACATACAACAACGAAATGCCACGCCTCGCAAACATTTTTGATACAACAAGGGCGTCTAGCATCCATCGTCGCAGCAACATAAGCCCTTATTTGTCAAGCTCCGCCGCTACTACCTCATCCGTAGCTGCCTACCACTCTCACCAAGACTCTCTCAGACATCTCATCACTACTAATCTCTCTATGCCGGCTTGAAAACGGCGCTAAGTGTGTTAGCGTGTCCCTTGTTGTCGTTGCCTTGTGAGATCTCGCCTTCACCAAGGGAATGGGGTCTATAGCTGACTACAATTGTTAGTTGCCTCTCTCACTCCTACATCCAACAATTTCGCTTGAAATTAGGACAACGACGCTCCAACTTGTACCAAATTTGCCAGCAGTTTTCCCTCATCAAGATTCTGTTCGACTACCACCTTCAAGATGCCTACGGAAGCAGAGAACATTAATTATCTATACTTGGTCCTGACCAACGATGGCAGCCCCGTCGTAAGTCTCATCGTCTCCCTCTTCGATTCGCATCTTCAACAAGCCCCATATGCTTACTCATGCTAGATCGATTGGGATGCCGTCTCCGCCGCGCTCGATCTCAACAAAAGCGCCGCGACAAAGCGATGGTCGCGTCTCAGGCAGTCCATGGATAGGAACGAGGCGCCTGGAGGTACAACGTACCAGTTTCTTTGGCTTTGCGTCAAGCACCACAAGCGAACTCAGGTGAGCACCAATTCACGTCCAGCCACATAGTCCGAGAACCACTAACATAGTGTCGTAGCCCCCAAACTGGAGTGAAATCGCAGCCAAGGCCAATACTACTTCTGGGGCGGCATCCAAGCGCTACTCCCGCATGAAGAAGGTATTCGAGGACAACGAAACCGCCCCCGATGCAGGCACTCCTCGCTCGCCTGTCAAGAACACACCCGCCAAGGCCAAAGGTACTCCGAAGTCCACCGCCAAGAAGCCTCGCAAGGCTACCACTTCTTCCGGCGACGACCAGGACGACGTTCAAACTACCCCGATCAGTAAGCGCAAGCGTACCTCGCCGAAGAAGAAGCTCGCCACCACCGATGAGGAAACCGAGATCAAGCCTGAGCCAGACAACGAGGGCGAAGATGAGGACGATGAGCTACTAGATACCAAGCCCAAGCGCGCGAAGGTCGGCAAGAACAAGATCAAGGTCATTCCCAAGCCTAAGCCCAAGGATATCGTCAAGAAGGAGGAGAACACCGACGATGGCGAGGACTCTTTCGTCGACGCTCAGGAATCGCTTGACCACCAGGAAGATGCTCAGGATGTCCAACACGACAGCTACGCCGTGAACGACAGTAAGCAATTCTACCCTACAACTCCTCTTCACTCCTATCAGCGTACTGAAGATATAATAGCGGAGCCAGCTGACTCCCTTGGTTGCAGCGATGACTTCATCTGAGCTACATACGCCTGTCGATGTGAACTGTGCCGATGGCTGCGCACAATGTACTTGCCACGTCAAGGAAATCGCCAACGTACTTATGAGCAGGGATTCTGGAATGGTTCAGTCACAGCGCGTAGAGCTTGAAGAAATGGTCGGTAACATGGGCTGAGGGTTCTGTTCATCTTGACAAGGAGTTTGGCGGAACTTTGCAAGATGCATCACATGGAATTTGGCGTTGGACGGAATACGGCGCATAGCGATGGCGTCGACTGATTTCGAGTGGAGAAGGCTTTCAATCTTTGTATTCGAGGAGCAGAACATTTGGTTCCTGGAAGCGCTGAGCTAATACAGTCCTCCCATGCCCTTCGTATAGGCAGTTCATGATACTTTCTTACGAGCCCACCAATTACGGTGTCAACACCAGTTTTCCAGTCGTCTTCCTACTCTCGATGTCCTGGGTCGCACGCACGATCTCGCTCAACGGATACACGTCGTGAATCTTGACATTCAGTCCGTCCTTCTCGATGAAGTTCCACAGCTCTTTTGCCGCCGTCTGCAATTCTTCGCGAGTGGCGATGTAATTAAACAGCGTAGGACGGATGAGCTTGACGTTCTTTGCTGACAAGCGACTAGACGATATGTCAGCTACTTTCTCACATGTATAGTATAAGAAAGACTCACGCTAGAGCAAAACCCTCAACCGGTCCCGATGCATTTCCAAACGAGCACATCGTACCCTTCCTCCTTACAACAGACAACGAGCTGTCAAAGGTGGACTTGCCCACAGAGTCAAAGACTGCGTGCACACCTTCACCTCCAGTTGTCTCTAGGACTTTCTTCACGAAAACGTCTCGGTTGTCCTCGTGGTATTCCAGTAGCACCTCTGCGCCGTTCTGCTTTGCCAGGTTCCTCTTCTCTTCTGTACTAGCTGTAGCAATGACTCTTGCGCCAACCGCCTTCAGCAACTGGCAGAGCCATAGTCCTACGCCGCCAGCTGCGGCGGTGACGAGAATCCAGTCGCCTTCCTTGACTTCGTAAGCATCACGGATTAGAGTTACGGCGGTTAGTGCCTGGAGAAGCGAAGCGGCGGCTGTCTTGGTGGAGATGGAATCAGGGAGCGGAATTGTGTAGTTCGCTGGTGCAGCAGTATACTCTGCGTAGGCCGATTGCCCCATGTAAGCTACGCGCGCACCCGGTTTGAGATCAGAAGGTGCGTTGGGTCCGACGGAAGCAACGGTTCCAGCACCTTCCCGACCGAGAACATACGGGAATTGTGGTGGCTTGTATACACCAGAACGGAAGTAGCTGGTCACAGATTAGCATGAAATCTTTGGTTTCTGAGCAGGTGGACAGGAGTGCTCACGTGTCGATGTAGTTGATGCCGATGAACTCGTTCTTGACCAGGACCTCGCCTTCCTTGGGCTCTGGAACCGGTACATCAGTCTTGTACTGCAAAACTTCTGTTCCACCGGTCTTCTCGATGTACACGGCCTTCATGCTCTTCGGGAGTGAAGACATGGTTCTGATGATGGATGCTTTTGGAGCAATATGCGAATTGATGGCTGCGAGTCGTGTTGTCGATCTGGAAAGTAGATTCGTCGAGCGCAGAGTGTGCGATACCAGCGTCATGAATCACAAAAGATGGGCTGATGGTCGGCTCAATTTCAAGCAAGCAATCTCAAGAGAGGCATGCCTGTTGATGATAAATACGCGCGGACACGGCGTTAATTCCGAGCGAGCTGCGAGGTGACAGCCCCGCTCCCCGCACACGTCATTATCGTCTCAGTTTGCGACTGCCTTTCAGACGCGGCAGTCGCAGTCGCTCTCTGTTCCTGATGCATTACCGCATGGGCCTTTATTAGAATGTACTTCGTAGGGCGCGTCAACGTTGTGTCAACCCGGTAGGGCGTGTTCATTACAAAGCGACATGATCATCAATGCTACAAGTTAGCCATGCGGGCATTCCCCACCGTTCATCGGCCTGCTGGGCTGCGCGCCATCTCTCAAGTATCTATGATGTTCTTTCTCTTTCCTCACTTTGATCACGTGCATATCTGTGCACCTTGCATTCTCCCCACTAGGTACGCGCAGTAGAGAACACTCCACTTGAAGTGGGATAGGCTCCTGGCAGAGCGAAGCATAGCTTCATTAGTATCGCGTCTGTAAGCTATTACCTGGGTAGACTGCGATGTCACCTTTGCTGGCGACAGCATTTTCTTGCTCTCTCTCTCTCGCTCTCTCGCCCTCCGCTTCGGAAGCCAAAACACGCGAGTCTACCTGCCACGTTTAGGACTACCTGGGAATGTCTATCTTCTTTATTGATTGAGCCGCCTCACTCATAGACCACTCTCTATGTCAAAATGGCAGAGAACTACGCACGACGATGGGAGGCCAGCAAAAGAATCTAGGCACACCGTAAGCTCGCTACTGTCCCGGCTTCCATATCAATGTACTCATGGAATCCCCAATCTTTCTGGCATTATCGGCTGTCAAGTGCTTTCACTGATATACAGCTAGTATCACCTAGCGTTGGCTGAGGGTGGCAGTACATCGAAGGCTGTTATCAAGATGCCTTCCCATCAGAGCTCAGTGAAGACGTAGAAAGAAGACAGGAATCACGAAGTATGCATTTCCTGCATGGAGAATTGGACTAGTTGTTCAACATGCTCTTTCCTAAAGCAGAATTGCGCTCGCGCAAAATGTTTGAAAAGCGGTGACCGAGCGCGCAGTGCAAACGACCACACATTCCACTAGTTTCGCACAGTCTCCTCGCCCTTGACACTACATTGGACGATATTTTTCGCCGTCCAACATCGCCTTCTCACACCGAATACCCGACGTTCGCTACCCGGTGCTATCATGCAGGATCCTGAAACGCCTCCGTGTCAGCTCAAGGACGCTCTGGCGGTTCGTGAATGGGCGAGGACCGTCTTCCCTGCCGAATTTGAAGCCCTACCCGACCCGGACGATCTCGAGACATATATTCTGGAGAAGGCTGAGACATCCACGATCTTAAAAGCTATCGCATTCACGAGCTTCGACCCATCTTGCAGGGCCGCCGAGTGGCTCTGGCCTGGCACTGGAGAGATCACTGTACTTGCGTTCATTCAAGAGTCTTCTCTGATGGCCAGTCCAATCCGTGGTGAGCAAATTGGCGGCGAGTTTAATTTGCTCACATGGCTCAAAGACTATGGGCCAACGTTCTTGGACGCGTTCGCTTCGTGTTCACTGGATGACCGTCAATGCCCCACCCCTGTCGAGATCGCGCTTGAGATAGAGGCGACCATCAGATACTACCTTGCGGCGAAAGGTGTGATACAGGCTCTAGAATGTGACGGTCAGATGTTCAAGTGGAATTTTGCACGCGCATGTCAGCGCCAGCATCAGAAGCTGTTGGAAGAGGGTAGGTCAGAGGTGCACCTTGATTTGACAGCGTCTAATCTATCGCAGGCAATACAACAGCTTCTGAATCAACCGTACAACTTCGGATGTCCAGAATCACGCTTACGCGCAGTAGGGAACTTTCCTTCTTTTGAATGACACAATTATTGATCATCAACAGGCGATACCCCGGAAGAAGCTCCTGGCTCTTCCGGACAACGTATCAGTGGACTTCCTGAGTCATCGGAGACGTCCCAAGATCTCAGCGGCGCTCACGAGCGATCCGGCGAGGAAGGAAACGCAAACAACAACAACGATACAACAAGCCGTGCCTTGAATGAGAACCAGCAGCGCAGCGCCCTCAACGATAATACCCACATCGCCAATCTACAACGCGAGATGAAGAAGCTGCGTGTGAGACAAAAGAAGACAAAGCGTCTCGAGGACAAATTTGCTACCCTTGAAGTACGCTTGAGCGCTTCGGAAAGCAGAGAGAAGGCAATGAGTGACCGGCTTGATGCCATTACTCAGGAGCGGGATGACGTGGAACAGCAGCACCAGACTCTTTGGAATGAATGTTTCTTCTTCAAGGCAGTCCAGTTAGATCGCACCAACACAGCTCTCGAAGCAGTGTTAGTTCTGTTCAGGGACCTTGCTCTACTCGAAGGTCAAGCTGAAAAGCTATCAACTGAGCACAAAGAGCTCAAGAAAGAAAACAGCGGCCTGGGAAAAAACTTGCAAACTATGCTTGAGTTTGCTATGAAGTCAAAAAATGCCACAGTTCTGCATAGGGTCGCGAATGAGTCAGCTATGGCTCACATCAAGAAGCTAGAGGAGAAGGTCGAAGAGCTGGAGACACAGATGAGAAAGCAAGAGACTTTGGTCAAGCAGGAAGAGTTCGAGAAACGCCGCAGCGCTATGGACTCCGTTCAGTGAGCCTGAGGATTGCCACTTGCCACAGCTCTGTGTTTTGGGGGTAGCAGAGAAAGTTGGAGTAATGCTTGCTGCAGATGACGCCTTCACCTGTACATAGAAAGTGGTCTGGCCTACTCAAAGTTCGGAAGGTATAACGTGGAAAGTGCGACAAGCAAGGGATATTATCGGAATGACAAGGAAGAGATGCGCGTAATATAGAGGAAACGGTTGTTGCATCGCTCAGTAGGCAATCATCTTGCCCGAGAACTAAAGCTTGGTGGTTCTTAAGACCACACTTACCAATGGGTCTGCCAAAACGCCCATGTTTCCATTACCAGTAAATCAAAAGTCTACCACAGTCCTCAGATCTGATACTAAAATGAGGTGTTCTCTCTCACTTTTCGCGTAGCTGTATGAAGTGGGGTCGTCCACTGCTTCCCTCTCATCGCTCCTCCCTCAATCGCCTTCATCGGCGCGCGTCGGTGAGGCCACTAACCACTTCCGGTATCTTCAGTCGTCATATCACGATGAAGATGAGCCCACTTTAGGCGCAATCTTCCACAGCTTCGTTTCGCCTTGCGAGAACCTTTGTAACAACACGCCCATTCGTTCAGATCGCACCTACCCACATCATGGCGCCCACCGGAATCACCCTCGAGGACGTACAGGCATGGGCAATCCGAGACTTCCCTGACCAGTTCAAGCACCTACCTGATGCGGGAGCCTTCCATGTACAGTTCAACATCGTCCGCGGGTACAACCACGACAACAGCTTCAAGAGCCTCGTGATAGGCAGCACTCATACTAAGACCGGGAAGCCAGCAGACATCCTCGCGTGGCTTGCAGGTAGCCGTATACAGCTCGGATATATTGGCAAGAATCGGAAGGAAGAGCCTCAAGTTCGTTCACTAGCTCCTGCTGAGAAGGACCACTCGTCTTCGAACTTTAAGTTTCCGTTCAATTTCGTCCCACCAAACCAAACCGAGACGGAAATTGCGTGTTTCAATGCCGTGTTACGCTACTACTTCCTTGCCAAAGGTTGGAATAATGGCGTGATCGACGAGTCGGACGTCTTCAACAGATTCGTATCCAGGTTTCCTTACGCTTGTCAGGCTATTGCAAACACCGTCGCGGACAGATCAGCACCGGTTCCGAACTTACATGGCACGCTCTATCCACAACAAGCTGGTCGTGTTCCGGTAGCTTCAGCAAATCATCAGCGTATGTCTAAGATCAGCCGTTAACAAAATCCGAGGAACTGACACTTGAGGTTAGCGTTTTGTCCACGGAGGACTCCCTATCTCTTTGAGCAGATCGCCAACGACCCACTCCCAAACCGATCGTACACTGTACTCAGCAGCCCGTCACCCAGTCCGCCGCCAATTGAGGATCCCATAACGCCCCGGACACTACCCTCCCCACTTGAGCTGCACGCCCAATCTGGACATTTACAATCGGCCAGCCCTAGTGGGAACCAGATCATGGTGCTCGATGGATCCAACGATGCTGATGAGCGAGAGGGCTCCGGGCTGCGAAACAAGCTTTTCGATCTCAACATCCGGCTAATGATTGCGGAGGGTCTTGCTCGGGATGCTGAGATAGCAGCACGGACAGCTCAGGAAGAGGCACAGCTCTGGAGGAAACGGTATGAAGAAGCCGAGACCTACAAGGCCAAGTATGAGGAAATCAGAAACCACTTTGATCTGCAGAAATAGGTCGGAATACGAGCTTGGAAGTGGCCGATCGAAACATCGTACGGAGAGGGCAGAACCTGTGGATGGAGCTGCTGCACGACATGCAAGCAATGGATGAGGGCAACGTTTCGGTTGTGCCGTCGGAAGGCCGATAATGAATGCGCGAGGCAGCGCGATGTAATGGAAATCTAAGGGCAATACTGGGCGATCCTATCGCGTGGGCGTAACGCCACAGTCAACTCTGCTTTTGAGAATACATCGCTTTCGTGCGTAAATTCTTACCGGCGCTCTTTGATGGAAGGAAGATGAGACGTGTTCAGGGTCCATGCACATGGGTTCTTGAAAGACAGGGCGCCCCGCTTACGTCGCGTACGCGTTTCCACGCGGACGCAGCGTGAACCAAGTTCGCGAACCGCCGCTACGTCATCGCTCACATCGCAATCAAGCGCAAGCCCACAAACATCTACCGCGCGCAGAATCCCCGCCTCACATGATTGATGCGCATAAACATATTTTACTACTTTTCCATCACTAGAGTATACTCCAACCCTATCTGAGGCTCTTTTCGGCATGGGCGCATTACTTTCCTCCGTCCTTGCGCCTATCGCCCTACCGCTGGGCTCATTCTTAGCCATTCCTATGCTATCCTCCTGGTCGACAGGCCTGAACCTCATCTTCCTCTCGGTCGCATGGACGACAATCGCGGCATCCTATTCTCCTCTTCAACTTGAGCTAGTTGCGCCCCTAGTCATTCGGCTATCTCTCTACATCATCCCCAGCCTGATCTTCTTGCTATTCGATATCGGACTACCAAGTCTAGCAATCGAGTTCAAATCCCAGGGACAATGGGGTATTCCGAACAATCAAAAGGGTGGCGCACGCGCAGTGAGAAGGGTGGTTGCGTGGAGCTGTGCGAATGTGCTGCTCAGTGTGGCGTTGCAAGCGGGTATCGAGTTCTTGATCACAGACGTACTGCAGATGAGGAGTCTGCTACTTATCAAAGGCAGTCGATGGGGATTGAATCACCTACCAAACCCATGGACGATGGTCAAACATGGCATCATCGGACTCTTATCTCGTAACGTAAGATACCATGATTGCGTTCCCTAACAAAGACGTACTAACAGACATGTCGTAGGTCTTGCAATACTATATCCACACACATTTGCTGCACTCTTCGACCGGCGGCGCACTCTCCGACTTGCATCAGAGCTGGCACCACAGCATCAAGATCCCCTACTCCTTTGCCGCAAACTACGACCACCCCATCTGCCACCTCCTGCATCGCTTCCTACCTCTATACCTCCCAGCAATTGCTCTGCGGATGCATATCCTCACTTACTTGATCCTGATCGCTATCTTCAGTCTAGAAGAGACCTTCGTGTACTCTGGGTACAATGTCCTACCCTCAACCATCATGCTGCGAGGCATGGCACGACGCGCCGACGCGCACATGATGAGTGAAGGAGAGGGTAATTACGGATGCATGGGTGTTTTGGACTGGTGCCACGGGACGACAATTGGTAAAGATGTCGTCGAGGACCTGAAGGCGGAGATGGAGAAGCACAACGTGGAGGAGAAGGCGGGGAAAGCTATAGATGGCGCGGGGGAAGCGGCGAACGGACTGGCGGGGAAGTTTGGCAGGGCTAGGAAAGGAAGGGGAAGGAAGTAAGTAGGTCAAGCGGCGAGCCTAGGGTCATGTAACGAGGTCTGTGTACGTATGGCATTGGCGCAATTGGTTCGATGGTTGTGTCTTTGGTTAGCGGTCGCTTCTGATACCCTTACGTCTGGTCGCTGGAAGTTTGTGGGCAGTCGGCGCAGTATCGGTCGAAGAATGTGACGTCTGTAGCTCTATTCCATGCATCAGTACTCGATTACCACCCAGTATATACTGCGCCAATTGAACGCCCAACTATGACATCACGCAAGCGGAGACCAAATGTTCACTTTTGGACCGTCTCAGATTCGCTCGCTTCATATAAAGTCTTATGGTAAATGCCTTGTCGGAATCCTCCATGAAAAAAATTGGCTGCCGTGCCGCTGCGATTCTTGTTTCGCTAGTACAGCCGCAGTATGCCGAAGTCGTCTTTCATCCCATGCACTGAACGCCGAATGCCCGATCGTTATCCGTCGCTTAGAAGACCATCTGGTGAGGCCTGTCGGAGCTACGGAGGCTGAAGCTGGCACCGAGGTAGTCGGCGAGGTGAGCCTCCTTCTTGATGGTGGCCAGGAGAGCCTTGTCGACGGCCTTCTGGTCCTCGACGCGGTCCTTGGAGGTCTCCTTCTTCTGTGGCTTTTGTCAGTATTGTCGCATTGCTCTTGCATTGTGTGCACGTACCTCAGGCTTCTCGCCCTGCTTGAAGAAAGCATCCTCACCCGGCTTGTGGGCGGCCTTATCCTTGGTGAAGTAGCCGTCCTGGCTGCACTTCTCCACAACCTTCTCGTCTACGCCGCTCAGGTCGACGCTGGTAGAGGTAGCGATGACATATCGGGCGTTTACTCGGCGAAGGGGAACACCGTTGACTTTGAAGGGACCGGTAACAAGGAGGACACCCTGGGAGAGGTGCTTGAGGACGACGACGCGCTTGCCGCGGAAGCGACCAGCAAGGAGGATGACGACGGTACCGGGCTGGAGAGACTGGCGGACCTTCGCAGGGCGGACAGACTTGCGGGCCTTGAGTCGCAGTTAGCGGAGCTCCAATTGATGTCTTGATTCTTGTCCTTGCACCCAAACACCCGCCGCATGCTGTCGCAGTGGATGCACCCAGCACCCCTGCAGTCCATCTCTTCCGTGCAAACCATCGTCTATCGCGAACGTACCTTCTTGGGGACAGCAACGTCCTCAGCAGGGTAGTACTTGCTGGCCTTCTGCGAGTGGTGCGGTATCGACCTCTCCCCCTTGGAGAACTTCTGGGTGGTGGGCTTCGTGTCCTCTTGTTTGGCCGCCATTTCGTTTCGCTGTGGTCGTTAGTGCTGGTCGGTGGTGTTGGCGATGGAATCGTATTTTCGTGAATTCGAGTGTGTGCCAAGCTGTCCAATCGATACGCGCGACCGGGCCGAGAGTTGTTCCGTTGGTTACGTAACCCGCGTGGAGCTTGCAGCTTGCGGCGATGCTCGCGGTACCGCCGCTGAACATCACTGCCCCAACACCGACACACACCGCAGACATGTCTATCCAACCGCTCATCACCTTCAAGGCCGGCCAGTGTGAGCTGACTGTAAGCGTCGCGGAGACTGACAACCCAGATCGGACACTAACAATAGCCACAGCGCGGAGAAGGCAACCAGCAGACAGTCAAGCCAGTACCGACACCAGGCTACGTCTACCTGTACCAAGGAGAAGATGGTTTGTTTGCAACCAACTTAGCCCTTTCATCAACTTACATATCCAGAATTCGTGCACTTTTGCTGGCGACCACGCGACCGCTCGCTCGACCAGTCGGACCTCGACCTCATTATGATCCCCGGTGACGGCTCCTTCCAACCCTACACCGGCAAGGACTCCATTGATGACCCCGAGAACATCAAGTCGCCCACCGACGGCCGCATCTTCGTCCTCAAGTTCAGCTCGAGCTCACAACGCTATCTCTTCTGGTTGCAATCAAAGTCGCAGCACTCGCGCGGCGCGAGTTGGTTCAGCGAGCGCGACCTCAAGATCGGGCAGGTCATTGACTTGCTTCTGACGGGCGAGGAGATTGATGTACAGGCTGAACTTGCAGGTATCTCGAGCTCATCCAACAATGACGAGGATGAGACCATGGAAGACGTAGAGCCATCTAGCCGAAACCGCCACGGTAGCACTGGAGGCGCTGGTGCTGGTGCCACAGGCGGTGATATCCGAGATGAAGGCGAAGAGTCCCGAGAGGGGGGCGCCGATGGTGGTCGAGCGTAGGTTCCATCTATTTGTATCGCATTCGGCGTCGTGGCGCAGTCTACCTTTCCGGACAGAATCGAGCTGCTGTGAAGGCTACCAACGGCTCTATACAAGACTATAAAGATATCCTGTCACGGTACGGCGTTTTGGGAGAAGCATAAGACCATCCAAACATGGCGATTGGCACTGGCTGCTCATGTACAACAATAGAAAATAAGCATCATGCTACGTCTTCCACTGGCCACGCCGCGGCGCTCGTTTCGCGTTTTTGCTTTTGCCTATCCTCTTGAACATGCTCGCTAACGCGTCGACAGTGCCGGATCAGGTGATGTCTCTGCCATTGTGCAAGACTTCATGAACTCGCTCAAAGGCGGCAGCGCAGGCAGCAGCTCACAACAACAAAGGGGGTCAGAACCCTTCGCTAGCCTCACCGAGTTCCTATGGCCTACGCATACTCTCACAACCATTGAGAACGCTTCCGACGAGACCATCGACGCTCTGTGTGCCCAACTACCGACAATTCCTTTCCTCCTAGAAGCCGAAGTCGAAGACATCGATCAAATCGACCCCAACTCCGAGACCGCGCAGATGGCCATACAGACATTGGGTCGGGATGAGAAAATTGATGTTCTGAGCAGGATCCTACGGGCACCTCAGCTGAGGGGAGCATTAGGCAGTCTGAACGAGGCGCTAAGGACCGGTGCTCTGCCGACTGTCAGCCAGGCACTGAACATTGATGTCGAAAACGGAGGCTATATGAGAGGTGGAGGCATGCCACTTGGCGGTGGAGATGCAGTCAAGGCTTTCCTGGAAGGAGTCAAGAAGACAGTGGAAAAGGAAAAAAAGGGCGGCGATGACATGGACACCAGCTAGATAGCCAAGCGGCTGTAGCGATTTGGACATGCTTTGGCATTGAATGACGACCGACACACGATTGATGCACATATAGACGACAACGATCAATGGTACGAGCACTGAATGGCATGGGTAGGATAATTGACTTATTCCCGTTCTCATCAGTACTTTTCAAATCCTCTTCTTATAGGTTCGCTCTCCATCTAGGAGGACCTCCAAAATGTACAGAGTCAGTCAACGGTTTTAGCCTTTTCACTGATTCATACCGACTACCGACTTTCTTTCGTCTCCA